GGAGAAGGATGGAGCACGAGACAGAATAGCAGAAGGGGGCTAGGAGCAGAAAACACGTGGCAGAACCAGACGGGCAGATCGGGCAGGTAGACCCCAACGGGCGGGTCGGGAAGGCGGGCACAGGCGACCAGGTCGAGCAGGCGGGTGGCTGAAGCGTGCGCCCCTGCATGAACCACGAGGAGGACTCGAGCGATAGCGCGATCCCAAAATAAATCGTGAGGAAATCCACAGCGAGAGCGTGGTTCCTGAGTGTCGGGAGCGCGGCGTCTGAATAAATTGCGAGGAAGTCCCACGCGAGAGCGCGATTCCTATATACATCGCGAGGCAGTCGAAGTCCCGCGCGAAAGCGCAATTCGGAAATGAATTATGAGAAGCATCAGGCGGGAACCGCTGCTTTTGTAAACCAGGGGTCAGGGGCACAGTTTGGTGACACTTCCCTTTCCCTTATAAAAAAGTGCGAGGCCTGGGAGAAGCACTTCAATCCGCTGGCCCCCTTGTGAGGCCACCAGGCTGTAGGCCGAAGGTTTGCTGTTCCCTGAACCAGTTCCAGTGTCCAGTTTCAACTGTTACAGGTCTGCTTCTTGCTGCTCACTTTTCCTTGTTGATGGACCGCGCGAGGGGGGGGGGATCCGAGAAGGAACCTAATCACCACGCCCGAATCACATTGTCTGGATTCCTGGGGGTGGCGTGGGACACGTAAAAATACATGAAATTCGCGCCCCGAGGCCAAAAACCCTCATAATGTACACCATATTCGCGTACCCGAGGCCATCAACCCTTGTAAATTATTGTATTCGCGACCCCGAAGCCATAAACCTTTACAACATACACCATATTCGTGTCCCGAAACCATACACGCTTGTAAATGTCACAAGAAATGCGTCCCCGAGACAACAAACGCTTGTAAATCACGCACTATTCGCGTCCCCGAAGCCATAAACCTAATTGAATTACGCAGCGATCGCGTCTCCGAAGCCATAAGCTTGTGTAAACAATACAATGTGTGCGACCCCGAAGCCATAAAACCTCGTAAGTTACGCAATAATCGCGTGTCCGAAACCGTACACCCTGGCAAATTACACATATTCGCGTCTCCGATGCCATGAACCTGCGTAAATTACGCTATGTGCGAGCCCGAAACCATAAACCCTCGTAAATTACGCGCGACTCGCATATCCGAAGACATAAACCATCGAAATACACATCAGAATCTCAACTTGTCTTGCCGATTACTCATCGTCGTCGCGTGAAGTCCTGACGCTGCTTCACGGCGGCGCCAAGGCTCATGATTTTGCTCTTGCATTGCCCGCTATCCGAGAGAGGGGGCCGGCGGCAGGAGGCGAAGCCCTTACGGATCAAAAAAATGCAATGATTATCGGAGGGGGGGGGATCAGCAACAACTACTGCTTAGAACTGGGAGTTCTACAACAACGGCTCCCGCCTGATGCTTCCTCGCAACTAATTCGGAATCGCGCTCTCGCGCAAAATTTCTTCACCATTTATCCAGGAACCGCGCTCTCGCGTGGGACTTCCGCGCAATGTATTTAAAAGCCGCCCCCCCGACACTCAGGTATCACGCTCTCACGCTGGACTTCCCCACGATTTACTTGGGAATCGCGCTGTCGTTCGGGACTGCCTCGCGATCCATGCAGGACTGATGCTGCAGCGACCCGCCCGCTCGACCCGGCCGTCTGGGCCCGCCCGCCCGACCCGCTCGTAAGGGTCCGCCCGCCCGACCCGCCCGTCTGCTTGTGTCGCTTGTTTTCCTGCGCTTAACCCCCCTCCTGCTAATCTCTCTCGTGCTCCATCCTTCTCCCTCCCCATTGTCCCCTCCCTCCTCCTCCTCCCTTCCCCTGTTCTAGGGGCTGCGCCAACTGCACGTGGCAGGTAAGGAAGATATTCCACCAAAGGGGGTACGATCGAAGACGAAGCCGGCGGGCATCGAGGGCTCGGGATATACATGTTAAAAGGCGCGCGAGCAGATCAGAGCGAGCAGTCTTGAAACCATTGTTGCGGTTGCGTTGTCGTCGTCCTCGCACGCGACCCGCCCGCGACCCACCCCTCGACCCACCCTTCGACCCACCCCGCGACCCCACCCGCGACCCACCCGCGACCCACCACGCGCCCGCTCCCGCACTCTTATCCACAATTGCGGGGTGCTACGTTTAGGGTCCACGCCGACGCCTCTCCCCGTGCGACAACGCGAGAGCAATCCGTGCGTCGGCGCGTGATTCGGACATGCCCCTGCTTCGACGTGCTTCCGCGCCGCGCGACGCACGAGCTCTCCTCCTGAAGAAGCGCATCAAAATATGCGCAGGTTCCTGGGAACCCTGAGCCCGCAAAGGTTGCCATCAGCGGGGGGTGCATATTCTACTTCCCCCAGACTCCGCCGGCCTTCCGCTGGCTTCCGCCGGCGGAAGGTAACCTCGTCTTACTTCCGCCGCCTTCCGTCGGCGTTCCGCCGCAGGTCACCGAGGAACAGATGCCTGCGGTCCTCGACGGCAAGGCCCTTGCTGGAATGCCTCATATGTATTGCCAGCGACCGCGTTGGGACATAATAACTGCAAGTGCTGGCCACGTCCACCGAATTCGGTAGCGCGATTGTGAACGCCTACGCTTCCTGCTTCCACCGCTCCAGCCGCAACACCTGCGACGGGTCGAAACACTCAAAGAAGCGTCAGACCATCAGCATGGCAGAGGCAGCTGCTGAAGATAACAATTTTGTTATTTATGTCTGTATACATATATATATAGATATATACACAACACGCCGCAGGGGTGGATACGAGTGAGGGGGCGGTCAGATCGTCGGCAATCTGCCAGGCTCTGAAGAAACCCGCCCCAGGCGCCGATTTTTTCGTCAAAGCAATGTGGGCGGGTCGCGGGTGGGTCTCGGGTGGGTCGCCGGGTGGTGGCGGGTGCGTTGCAGGGCGGGTCGCGGGTGGGTCGCGGGGGGGGGTCGCAGGTGGCGGACGACGACGACTAACAAACAAAAGAACAGAATTCGCGCCGCAGAACTCCACTTCAGCCAGGCACCCAGGGACAGTGAATGAACGTTTGGCCCCCTCACTCTGAGATATATGTATACTGTATGTACGTACACACATCTATAGAAATGTGTGTACACCCTTCTCTCTCTCTCTCTCTCTCTCTCCTTGCAGATCGAAGCACCACGAAGGGCCACGAAATCTTATGTGGCAGAGTTCTGAGCTCCTCAAGGGACGCATGCCCACGCATTAACTTCTCTTCTGCCCCTGGCAGTTCGCCATTGCATTGGCAACGCCACCGCCGCCGTCGACTGCCACCGCTGCTTTCCAAGGGAAGTGCGGTGGATAGAGCGGGGCTGCCTCGAATCGCCCGAACAGCAGGCTATCTGAGCTGATGGTGTGATTCTCGGTGGGGTCGGGCCCCTCGGACGTGGTGGTGAGCACCTACAAAGGCGGGATGGCAGCGAGGTGGAGGCGGGGTGAGAGCGAAGGTGCTCGGCCACAGCCCACGCCTGGCCCCATTCCCGCAGGTGCGGTCGGCACGCGGCAGAAGGGCACGCGGCAGAAGCAGGAGCATGCAGCAGCACCCCCCCCGCCCTCAGCAGACTCTACAGTATTCGGCCTGACCTAGGGAACGATAAATAAGGAACGAAGCCCCTTTTTCCAAGCACATCTAGGAAGTCCGAAGGAACACCAGGGGGGCTCGCCGCCAAAAAGGTAGCGGAACGCATGCTATCCAAAGAAACGAGCGAGCCCCTTTGGAAAGGCAAGTGTTCCTTATTCAAGCCAGACCCTGTAGAAGCGCGTCTGGCCACAGCGGTCAGTCATCTGCACGGTCGATGCAAAGATTGACCTGGCACAGCGACAGTAGATACAGCAGTTGATATTCGGAGGGGGAGGAAGATATGCCAATATCAGGCGGAGGATGTTGTTTGAAGGGTGCTCGCGAGCGTCGACGAAAACGGGCATACCATCCTGGTGGTAACACCAGGAGGAGAAGTAACTAAATAATGAGATGGAACCAGGTGGCGTCGGTGATCCAAGAGGGGCCTGAGAGAGCCCAACAGCGGCCCAAGAGTGGGCATCAGTGGGTGGCAGGCCCGCCCCAAGATGGCCCAAAAACAACTCCAGGAGGCCCCAAGATAGCCCCAAGGCAGCCCAAACAAATCCAAGACACGAAGAGGGCTCCAAAGACCCCCAAGAGAGCCCCAGCAGCGCCCTAAGAGGTCTACGAGGCCAAGAGCGTCCAAGATCGGCCCAAGAGCAGGGATCAATAGGTGACCGACAGGCCCCAAGATAGCCCCAAAACAATCACAAGAGGCCCCAAGAGGCCCTGGTAAGTTAGCAACAACGCGATGAATTCAAGGCTGCCAGAACGATGGTCCAGCAAGGCAGAACCAAAAACATCCTAGTAAGACTCAGGCGGCCAAACGCAGTGCTATATGGGTCGAATCGGGACCAATTGTGTTTTGCGGACTACCCCTGAAAGGAGCTCTGGAGAAAACAACAAAAACTCACCCCGCCAAGAGACCCTGGACAGCATGCGAAAGGACACGGCACAACAGGAGACGACATGGCGCGGCACTGCACATGGCACTGTACGACACACCCTAGAATCGCCCTACAGAACCACGAGTTAGACCAACAACATGTTTTACAACGCGGCACGTCGTGCGGAACGCAATCACGAAATGGACCCACGACAATGCACAGTAGACTGCACGACAGTCGACATGGGTTGCGCCGAGACTTGCTACTGGTTGCGCCATGGATTGGGCCACAAATTGCGCACAGCAAGCCCACAGGAATCACGGTGTGTTCCACTCTGTTTGGGTTGCGCCACATGTTCGCGCACGCCACGCCCAACGGAACCACGCTATGGACCACTGTCTAATATGCGCCACGGGTTGCGCCGCAAATTGCGATATAGGTTGCGTGCGGGACGCACACTGAATCGCGCTTTGTCGCACTCTGTCTGGATTGCCCCATAGGTTACCCCACCGATTCCTGGTCTTCTGTCTCACTCGGTCTGGGCTGCACCATATTCTACGCCATAAGTCCCGATATGGGTTGCACACCGCACGCCCAACGGAATCACGGGTTGTCCTGCTGTCCCCGTCCAAGGTCTCAATCAATCCGGAACAGTACTTGCCCGTGGGTTGCGCCATAGGTTTTGCCAGAAACCTCGCCACATCGCTAAACCGCTGATTCCTAAACTAACCTACCTACCATAAGTTGCGCAACGTATTGTGCCAGGCACCCCGCGAAACCACCGAGAAGCGTTTTTCCTCCAACTCTGTCTACCTGCTATCGGCTGCGCGACGGGCTGTGCCAGACACCCAGCGCCTTGCGAATCGCAACTTTCAATGTCGGTCTACCTTCCTTAATCTGCGCGACCGGTTGCGCCAGACAACCCGTGCCATCGATCAGCCTTCCATAGGTTGCGCCATGTGTTGCGACAAGCGTCTCGCGCCCTCCCGAAGTGCGAATTCCACCGCTCTGTTTACTCCCTCGACGAATCGTGATCCCAGCGTTCTGCAGAATGCGCCATACGTTTCGCCAAAGATTGCACCATCGGTTGCGACAGGCACCCGAAGTGTCAATTCCTTTCTGCGTCTCCCTGCAATAAGTCTGGCCATGGGTTGCGCCAGGCACCCTGCACCCTGACGAACCGCAATTTCCCACGCTGCCTTCCATAAGCTGCACCTGACTTCCAAAGACTGCACAGTAAGTTGTGCCAGACACCCAGCCGAAGTCAGGTTGCGCCATAAGTTGCGCCAGAAGTTGCGCCAGACACTCAACGCCCAACCCAATCGCGATTCCCCCACTCTGTCAACCTTCCATGGGTTGCAAGACAGATTGTGTCAGACACCCCGCGCCCGATCGAGTCCCGAACTACACACTCTGCCTGCATGCCACAAGCTGCGACACAGATTGCGCCAACCACCCCGCGTCCTTGCGAACTGTGGCTTCCCTATTCTGTCCCTCTTCCATGAACTGCGCCTGGCTTCCGAAGGTTGCGTCACAGGTTGTGCCGAGCATCCTGAACCCTACTGGAGTGCGATTCCTTCACTGTATCGATAGGTTGCGCCATAGTCTGAACCACAGGCTGCGCCAAACTCCGATTGCCAAGTCTGCACACTGCACGTGGGCTGCGCCTTCCGTTGCGCCAGTCGCCCAGCGCCCACTACATCGCAATCCCCCCACTCGACAGAAATTCCATTAGTTGCGCCACAGGTTGGGCCAAACACTCCGCGCCCTCTCGAATTGCGATTTCCCCTCACTCCCCACCTTCCATGGTCTGCGCCACTAGTTTCGCCAGACCCCCCCGCGTCCTACCGAATCCCGATTTACCGATTCAGTCTACCTTCTATAGGTTGCGCAGTCGGCTGCGTCAGGAACCTCGCGCCCTACCGAATCGCGATTGACCCCCTCTGTCTCCTTCCACAGGTTGCACCACAGGTCGCGACAAACAGCCCATGCCATACAGAATCGTCAGACCGCCAATACAGTCGGGGCGTTGACCTAAGGAACCCTAAATAAGGAACGAGGCCCCTGTTTTCCCGTAGTTAAACTTCGATTTCCTATCGAAAACACAAGGAAAACCTGAGGCAAGCTGTGAAACACTTAAGGAACGCGGAGCCCCTCCCCAACCAAAAGGGTTCCTTCTTCAGGGCCCCGACTGTACTGCACATTGTAATGTCACAGCGGGTCCTTAATTATGCCATTCGCTGTTCAAGGAATTGTTGCCTGACACCACACCCGCTGCCCAGGCTGAAGGGGGGCAAAGAGGTCAGGGAGAGAAACGGAGGATGGGAGAAGCGATGTCAGCGAGAAAGAGCGGGAAACGCTTCAGCGCCAAGGCCCCCAGCCCCCAGCCGCAGTGCCCCTCCCAGCGTATCCAGCATCCGCCCACTCCCCATCCATACCCATTTGCGCCCTTCGAGGCTATCCCAGCCACGACCTGTTCATGCCCCGTTTTAGTCCTTACTTGACTTCTTCTCGCCTCCTCCCCCACCAGTGCCCGGACCGACCACCCCGACTCTCTCCATCCCCTTTGCCATCGTTCGCTCGATCATCTCCACCTCGAGTATTCAATATATCCATTGATTCGCACGCCACAGAATTCCACGTGATGCGAAATATTGCATCACCTGCAGATTGCAGAGGTATAAGTCAACGCTCCCCCGCGAATTCCATGGTTTTCAGCAGTCCTCGCGCCACCTTCAGGACTCCGCGAAGGACCAGGGCGCAGAGTATGGTTCCGGCTGCTCCGCAGGGCGTGGATGAAGAGTTTCCGCCAAAGGCGCAAGCCGAACCAAGCGAGGGCGGGTTGGAATTACGACCCCTCGCGGCCTGCCCTACCACGTCCTTCCTCCCCACTCTGCATGGTGCATTCGCTCACCCGCTCTATCCAGGACGAGCGCGGGGCAAGGTCCTTCGTTACAGTCACGGCCTCCTCCAGCTCACAGTCGCCGTGCAAGGCGCCCGAGCAGTCCCGCACGCAGACCCGCTCCAGATGAGATCTGTTTTAGCGCAGAGGGTGCGGAAGTGCAACAGAAAAAACATGAGCCTCATAGACAGGGGAGGAGTCGAGCACAGCAGCATGGTATCCCTTTGCCACGCGTGGCAGTGGCTGGCCAGCAGAGAGAGTAGAGCGAGGACACAGGGCTTACACTGAGGCCTTGAGAAAGCTCAAGCAGCAGTGCCCATGCGAAATTGGCTTACCGAAGACTGCGTATCCGTACGGAGCAGTCGCGCAAAGGGTGGGGCCCAAGAGTTGACTATGTGTGTCGCGACCCCCCTACTGCTGGTGTTCCCCTTTGTTCTGGTCGGGACTCTGGCCGTGGTCCTTGAGGGCCCAGCGCACAGGGACCCTGCCGGGCCCACCAGGAACCCACGGGGTATCGCGCTGGCACGGAGCGGCTTGAAGCGGGCCGTCAGCTCAGGCCATCGGAGAAGGAGCGCACAGGGCAATGATGATTACAGGGCGGCCCGCACATGACCCTCGAAAATCCGCCGACCCCTTGGGGATCATCGGCGTGTGAGATGCTTCCCCCTCCCCAAACCCCTCCCCCGGGAGCCCGGTCCGGTCGATTTGGAGGGGGGGGGGGGTCCGGGACGAGCGCACCACGGCCGGGACGAGCGGTTCACGGAGCTTTTCCGGGCCCAAGAGGGCCTCAAGACGGGCCAAGAAGCCCCCAAGAGGCCTCCAAGACGGCCCACGAAGGCCCCGAGACGCCAAACGACCGCTCCAAGACGCCCAAGATGGCCCCAAGACGGGCCAAGAGGTCTCCAAGACGGCCCCCGAGGTCCCAAACAAGCCTCCCAAGAGGGCCCCAAGAGTCTAAAATTGTTGATTTTCCATAGTGTTTTTCGATGTGTTTTGCTTTTCCGCCTTTTCGGCTTCCCGACGCTCCAAGACGGCCAAAGAGGCCCCAAAGACAGCCCCAAGATGGCCCAAGAGGCCCCCAAGACGGCCTCCAGACGGCCCAAGACGGCCCCAACACGGCCCAAGAGGTCCCCAAGACGGCCCAAGAGGGCTCCAAGACGGCACCACGAGGGGCCCAAGAGGGCGACCAAACATGTTGAAACTCTAGCTTTCTGCCCCCAGGAGCCCCAGGGGGCCCCAAGAGTGCCCCAAGAGGCCCCCAGAGGCCCTCACGAGGCCGCCCAGACGCCCCAAGGAACCCCCAAGAAGCACCCCAGAGGCTCCGAAACGGCCCCCAAGTGGCTCCAAAACTCGCTTCCAGAGGCCCCCGAGAAGCGATCCGCGAGATCCCGATACACATACAAGAAGCCTCTCACCCATAACCCATAACCCAGAGCCGTTTCTCCGTGTCCCCCTTCTCCTCCTCCTCCTTTTCCTCCACCTGGGCCCCCAAGTGGTTCCAAACTGCCTGCCATAGGCCCCCGAGAGGCGTGCCGCGAGATCCCGATACACATACAAGACGCCTCTAACCCATAACCCATAACCCAGAGCCGTTTCTCCGTGTCCCCCTTCTCCTCCTTCTTCTTTTTCCTCCACCTGGGCCCCCAAGTGGTTCCAAACTGCCTGCCATAGGCCCCCGAGAGGCGTGCCGCGAGATCCCGATACACATACAAGACGCCTCTAACCCATAACCCATAACCCAGAGCCGTTTCTCCGTGCCCCCCTTCTCCTCCTCCTCCTTTTCCTCCACCTGGGCCCCCAAGTGGTTCCAAACTGCCTGCCATAGGCCCCCGAGAGGCGTGCCGCGAGATCCCGATACACATACAAGAAGCCTCTATCCCATACTCCACCTCATCCCTCATCCTCCTCCACATCCTCCTCGTCTCCCTCCTCGTCTTCCTCCCCCACCTCATCCTCATCCTCCTCAACCTCTTCCTCCGCCTCCTCCTCCTCATCGATTCTTCTCCCTCCCATCCTCCGCCTCACCCCCCATCTTTCTCTCCCCGCCCGATTGGTCATCCTTTGCATGCCTTGCACTTCAGGGTACCCTTCTTTGCGTCGCGCGCGACATTGGGAGGGTCAGGGAACGCCGACTTCGGCAGTTTTCTCTTGCACGCGCCGCTGCACTGATATCCCACGCAACTGCGCGCTGTGAACCCGAGTTTCTCGCAGCCTCTGCACACCACTTTGGTTCCTTTCGCCTTTCGATGATCTTCCACTTGTCCCTGCTTCAAATGTTTCGTGTCCGAGAACGCTCCTCCGCACGCCGCGCCCGTCAGCGTCTTCGCGTCCGCCCCGGCTGTCCGCGTGCGAGTCGCTGCCTCCGCATTGCCCCGCCGCATCTCGTCCTCTCGCGCCTCCGCGCATTCCCGACAGAGCCTGTCACCCGCTGCAGGGCCCCCGGAGAACGCTGACTTCGGTAGTCTTCTCTTGCACGCGCCGCTGCACTGATACGCCTGGCAACTCCGCGCTGCGAACCCGAGTTCCTTGCAGCCTCCGCACACCACCTTGGCTCCTTTCGCCGTTCGATGATCTTCCACTTGCCCCTGCTTCAAACGTTTCGTGTCCGAAAACTCTTCCCCGCACGCCGCGCGAATTAGCGGTTTTGCTTCCGCCTCTGCTTTTCGCTTGCGATTCAACTCGTTGCCCCCGCCCTTCGCGTCGCGCGCGCACGTCCTGCAAAGCTTCTCCCCCGCACCCTTGGAGTCGCACTGGTTCGCCGCCACTTCCGCCTCCGTCTTCAACCCGACTCCTTCCGTGACTTCCGCGCCTTCGCAGGTCCCGCGCATCTCTCGCACTTGCTCGTCCTTACGTACACTCGCCCCCCGCGAGCCTCGTTCTCTGGCGTCCTCGGGCCCATCGCGGCCCACGTCTTGCATTCGGTACACCACTTCTCGCCTGCCTCCTTCAACTCTTCCGTGCAATCTCGACAGAAACTCGGCCCCTCCTTTTCCTTGAACTCTGTGGGCGTGAAATCCGCTTTCTCCTTCAAGGTACTACATTTACTGCACATCTTGCGGGGCATCAACTCTGCCTCTATGTCAACCCACGGCACCTCCTCCCCGCGCAACTTGCCCAGCAGATACTTCGCCCCTTCCATCTCTCCTTGCGTATACGGCTTCAACTCAAACGGGCGATATATCAGCAACCCTCTACGGGTCTTCACGCGGGCGATGGCCACGTAACTCGACATCCAACTCGCATGTCGACCCTCCTGCAAATCTGCGATGACGGCGTCCAGGGATCGGCCCTGCGCTGCGTGCGCCGTGCTTGCCAGGCCTGGCGATATCAGAAACTGCTTCCGCCGAACCCCCAACACGGGCTTCTTTGGGTACGCGTCCAAGAACCAGACTCGCTGTCTCGGCGCAATCGGATACAACCCAGGCCCCGGCATGCTCTTCAGCGTCCACGCGTCCGTATGAAAGTCGAGCACGATCTGCCGCGGCATCCTTCGCAGCGCGACTTGTGCAGCGTCCGCGACGGCACCCTCGTCCTCGTCGACTACCCATGAGTGAATCGTCGCGTGGCAGCCGCGGAGCAGTTGTTTCTCTCCCCTATCCAAATGATCCGTCAGAACAACGGGCATGCCCGCCGCCAGCGGCAGCCACCCTGGCATATCTGCGCATGCTTTATCATGGTATCCCGGCCACCGGATCTTGTCAGAAGACGTGTATGGCCTTTTTTGGAGGGATCCATGACGCGCCGCGTCCCTCGCGTACATCCACGAAATTTGCTCCCCCTCGCTCGCGGCCCAGTCCACGGCGCGCTGACGTGCGACTTTACATTGTACATCCTGGTTCGGGTAAATCGCGGTCGCCCTTACGAACTCCGGCAATAAGAACCTCTCGTCATCGGGCCCCGTTGCGAACCATCTAATGAACATGATATGAACATGCCTCCGTTTCGGCACACCCCGCACGCGGCAACTTGAGTAAGAGGCCCCAAAACCCGAATATACGCGCGGCTCCCCGCCAACATTGGGCACGTCCCTCATACATTTCGTGGCTCCACGGCGCGCTCCAACCATAGCCCCAGTACCCGCGGTCACGTAAACTTCCAACCCCACGCGCACACACACGTCGATCGTGTCGTGGCTCCAGAATACGTCCACCGTGGGGCCCAGTGGGAACATTCGCATGCAAGTATACCCCATGCCGGCACACCCTTTGCACGCGCCGTGGCCTCGCACATGGCCAAGTTGACCCATCATGACTCCTGGGCAGTCCCCCAAAAAAACTCCCGACCGCTACCGAAACGGCTCGAAGACATTCCCGAGCCCAACCTGGCTCCATTATGCCTCTCAGATGGCCCCAGATGAGACCACGACCGCCCGCGGTGTCGCCGTCCGCTCGGACCCCCCCGCGGAACTGCCCGAGACCCTCTGGCGGTGGCGGCGAACAGACACCAAACAAATATCACTCGCCTTTTCACCCCTTCGCAGCTTCTACTACCCCCAGATTGGCATAAACAAGGGGTCGGCGGTGTGGCGTAAGCCTAAGAATAAAAGATCGCGTCATGCGGGGCCCGCACATACATACCAGCACCAGGCGACAATAATTTCACACATCAGCTTGAAATACACACCATGCCAATGTGTTCTGTTTTTGCAAATACAACCGCGCGCCCAAACAAAGCTGTGCAGACTCCTTGCTAGCATCGCATGGCTTGACACACCTGGCGACCCACGGCCGAAACAATGACCCAATCAACCTCCGGGATAAAAGAACATCACGCGCTGGTGGTGCACAGCCGGAAATAAGATCAAGAAAACGATCCTGTAGGAAATCTGGGCCAGCTTCCCAGAAATGTCTTAACACACGCCTGGGCCAAGTTCTGTTGTTGGCGCTGGAGGGGCGAAAATGCTCAAGAAGCTGGGCCAGCTTTCCGTCAAGTTGGTCAAGAAACGCTCGCCGAGATTTTCGGGAGGAGGTTTCTTAATCAGATGCTCGGCTGTATATCTGTGGGCCTCGGACTTCAGGAACTTCCTGGAATGTCGCAGATTCCGCTCGGGACCGAGCGGCTGGCGGCTGACACATCGCCTCGCAGGGCGCCACCTAGTGCGGCCCCTTCGGAGCACAGCA